CCTATTTCCAGCAGTGGACAACAACAGGCTGATGATGATGATGATGAATATTTTTTATTGTAGAGTTATTCAATTAGGAAATTTGAAAAAAAAGGTTCAGTTTGTAATCATTTCGAGATCATAGATAGTCTTAGCACGAACTGCTACACCCACGCTCTACTATGAATAAATTAATCAATTTAAAATTAACAATTTCTACCACAGGATTTGATTAATTCTTACTAACAAGTACACTTGTGTAGATAAGCGTTATCGCGTGTGTCAACACTCATACGCTGGTCATATTATAATTCTGCTAACTCCGTACTTATGAGCGTAACAACCCAGATCGCATACGCACATATATAATATGTATAATCAACAAAATCAGTGCATGATCGTAGTAAAATTAAAATTTCTGTGCATCCAATCTACCAAAGTCTATCAATAGAAAATCTTTAGAAGTTGTGAACAAGGAAAGCAATGAAACAAAGTCTCCGATAGTCTTTTACATATTTATAATGGTGTTTATTGAAATTATCAAATTAAACTCAGAAAGGAATAAAAAATCAAAATGATATGTTTCATTTATCATTAGGGGTTAGTTAAGATTTTTGGTGCAAGCTAAATGTTTTGTAATTCTCAAAGCACTTGTATTTATGACTGTACCTACATAATGTGTGTTTATAAATAGTGCATTCGGTTATTTATTTATATCCAGGTTTATCTCATCACCAACCTTTATGTGACATTGCTGAACAAAGACCCCTTCTCACACGGAGAAGGATTAAGCATTAATCACCACGCTAGCTTGCTCAAGGAGGAAACTTATAATTTAATTCGCTCACACATTACCTATAAAGTATTTTTTATTAACTTTTTCTTGAAATGTTGTCTAATTAATTGCCTGCTGCTTGCACGCGTTTAAGTCATCTGTGCACCACCCAAAGGTCAGACTGGTATATAATGCCAAAGGCATTAAATCCACACATCTACGAATATATGTGCAAAGCTTATTAAATTAAATAAATATTTTAAGGCCATATATTTTCCCGTAAAGTTTCTAACAAAATAATTTTAGACGGTACATATAATTGGGAAAATGTCACATTGGTACCTACTTGCCATGTTTCGAATCCGCACTGCATTTTGTTGAAGTAGCAGTCGCCATAGCCGATCAACGTCTATGACGACGCCTCTTGTTCCTGAGACTAAGTTTCAGATCAGCTGAAACCTTTTTTTAATGGATTTCCAACGTGCACCAACCTAGTTATGATTTCGTGAAAGTCGATTCAATAAAAATGTCTTATTTGGACTTTTTAAATGACAGTAATTAGTTAAACGCTATTATTATTGAAAACTAGCTTCTGCCTGAGGCTTCCCTCGCGTGGTATGTTGAAAAAAAGTAGCCTATGTCCTATTCCGGAGTGTATCCTATGCTTGTGCCAAATTTCATTCTGATCCGTCCAGTAGTTTTGTGATTGAGTAACAAACATCCAAACCTCTAAACATCGTAACTTTCGCATTTATAATATATTTAGTAATATAGCAGGAACAGTTTCAAGTGTTTTTTTATGTAATTGGTCGGCAACGGATTTCCTGATGGTAAGCAACCAGCGCCGCCCGCAACGGAGGAGTTACGAGTGCGTTCCGACCTTTTAGGGATTAGGGATTGAGGAGGGATTGGGGGCGGGGAAGGATCAGGCCTCCGGTAACCTGACTCACACGGCGAACCACAACGCTGTGGTTGTTTCACGCCGGTCTTCTGTGAGGCCGTGGTATCACTCCGGTCGAGCCGGCCCATTCGTGCCGAAGCATGGCTCTCCCACACTTAGTGTGTGAAATATATATTTAGGTTTACTTTTTTTATTATAAGTTAATTTAGTCTTCAAGATCCCCTCTGCAGGTGAAGGCTTCCTTCAAGTTTAGCCAGTCCTCTCCAGTTTGGGTACTTGGATCCAGTCGGGACCAGCTGTTTTTTTTTGAGCTTATCTTCCCCGTTTATCACTTACTTACTTACGTTAATTAGAGTGCGGCATTGCCCCTTAATCCAAATAAAAAAATTGGTGCATATGTGTGCCTATCCTTTTAGGGAATAAAAGGTCATAAAGGTACTATGTTATGAGTTTGGAGCCGTGCCCAGTCTACGGCAGTGGGCTTTTCCCTTATATCAATCTCAGTCAGGACTGAGATTTATGGCAAATAAAAATCTTCCAGAAAATTCCATGTACATATTGGTGCTTAAAAAAAAACTGTTTTGAATGTACTCTTAATCTATTTATAATATGTTGCGTAATAACTTTCGAGAGACATACCTACTAAATTTGTTGGGAATAATGACTAACTCGTGTGAATAAATTGAAATAAAGCTGTACCAGTTTGAATTAACAACGGGACTCTCGATGACTGATAATGATTTCAATTTAGGAAATTTTGTAAATTTTATCTTTATATAATTTGCCAGACAAATAGAATACACGACATTGGATTACTAATCACCGAATTCTATATTAACAGAATGTCAAGTTTGTTTATATATTTATTAACTAGCTTTTGTCCGCGACTCCGTTTGCGTTGAATAGTGACTTCCTGCAGATTTTGGAATAAAAACTATCCTATATTCTTTCTCGAGTTCAAAACTATGTCTGTACCAAATTTCGCAGAAATCAGTTCCGTAGTTTAGGCGTGTAGAAAAGACAGACAGACAGACAGAGTTACTTTCATATTTATAATATTAGTTTGGATCAGACACATGAACTAGGATTCTGAGTACTACAATATTTTTATTTTTTACATTAATGAAGGTAAGCATTGTAAGCATTAAGCATTGTAAACTTTTGTTACTAAAATTTATAGAGTTATTCAGAATAGTTGGTTATATCAAGCCGTTAGATATTGGATACCTATTTTACATCGTTAGTGGTTTGACAAACAGAGCGCCAAAACGATAACCCTTATTGTCATAAACGACAACTAATGTAGAATACTTTCTTTAATACCTAGTTATTTAATGTGTATGAGGTATACCGTGAAATTTAAATTGTCTTACGATTATCTCAACAAAGTTAGAAACCGATATCGTATAGTATGATAATAAAATTCTTTCTGCAACAGTACAATGTTAATATAATGTTCAATAAGCGGCACTTAATCAAACAATCGATATAAATCCGCAATTTAGAAAATAAAATTTTTCTACAGTTTTGTTAAAACTTGACGCTTTTTTTTGTGAGGAGAAAATCAAAATGATTTCTCCCGCCCAGGGCCGGGCGGGAGGGAGTGTCAGACTCTTACTGACTAAAAACCCCCCTGTTCCTTCTCCTGCTCTGGGTCTGCGAGGTCGCGGTGCCTCATTGAAAACTTGACGCTGTAAGCTAGTTCTCACTTATAGATTTAAAATAACCGCAAGTATATCGAGTAAATAGCGAAAAACGTATTATAAACAAACTAAGCTACATTTAAGCATGCACCTTAACTTATGAATACCGTACGGTTGAAATCTCGCGTTTACTTATGAGGGAACTTTTGGTTGAATTTCACACTTATTTGTTACAAACCTTCATACTGTCATTCCGTTTGTAGATTGCAGCTCGGTGGAAACGACGCCTGCACAGAACACAATGCTAAATTGTGTGCAACTGTGCAGTTATTTCAGAACTGTTGTTTGGGATCTCAAATAATTCTCTCCTCTATCTGTTCTCAAGTAATATATTTATAATTTGGTTTGAAATCGTAAACTTGTGTGATAGTTGAGACGTATGTATTCAACAAGCTTACAGATTTCGTACCGTATTTGCTAAAGTTTATTGTACTTAAGGCGAGTTTCTATCTTGAATGAAAACATAGAAAAGGTGCCAGAATCAATCAACACTCTTATTCTAGGCGGATTGGCGATTAAAAACACGTTATTTCTGTCGTTTTCGCGTCAATTTTCTATTGTATTTTATCACATTTTAACAAAAAAAAACACTAATTTGGTTGGTGTAGCGAAAAATATCTTTAGACAGACTTATCCTAAAAATAAAAGATTAGTAAAAATAACTAAATTAAATCTTCTGTGAGACTGGTATCATATTATTCAAGTTGATACTCTCATAAACACATTTTAGGGACATCTATTCTGGTCTCCTAAGCTTCCTAAGTCAAAAATTCATAAAAATATTTCTGTCTCCTTGGATACAATTTATCGTTAAGTTATCGTTTAAGTGTGGGAGAGCAAGAGTGGGTCAGCTCGACCGGAGTGATACCACGGCCTCGCAGAAGTCCGGCGTGAAACAATTATGGTTGGTTGATAACGGAGGTGGTTATCGGAGGCCCAATCCTTCCCCTCCCCAATCCCTAAATCTCATAAATCCCTAATCCCCAAAAGAACGGCAACGCACTACACACACACACACACGTAACTCATTTGTTGTTGCGAGTGTCCATGGGCGGCGCTGATTGCTTACTATCAGGTAAATCGTATACTCGTTTGCCGCCGACCTTATCACATAAAAAAATGGAAATCTAAATTAAGATTTAAACTGCTAACAACGATGTCAACTTTCAAATATAATTTATGTATTTAAGTAATTAAGTTCTGTTTAGTTAAGTTTTGGCAAATATTATTATAGACTGGCTGTAGCAGGTTCGCTGATTCGTTGTTCATTTGACGTTTAGATTAGCTCTCTTAATATTTCTATTTGACAAATACAATTATTGATGTAGCAAGAAAATTATGATTAGTATGCATTTGTATTTAAAACGTAAGAATGAAATAGATTAAGTGTTTATCAGCTTTTTTCACCCAAGATGTTAAGCAATACCATCAGTTTTAAGTGTGGGAGAGCCATGTAACATGTATGGGTCGGCTCGACCAGAATGATATCAATCACTGAAAATAATCGGTGTGAAATAACCACAGAGGCCCAATACTTCCCTTCTCAATCTCCAAATACCTAATCCCCAAAAGGTTGGCTCATATTTCGATTAATTGTTTAATTTTTGTTTGTTCCAACGTACTGGTAATTCCTCTGTTACGGGTGTCCATGGGCGGCGCTAATTACTTACCATCAGGAAATCCGCTTGCTCATTAGCTGTCCTATCATATAAAAAAAAATTTTATTCGGCTACCTATACCTATATATACCTACATATAAATAAATCGATTTTGTTGGTTAAGAATAAAACTCTCATTGACTATAGAAAAATTTATTCACTCCGTTACTTCCCAACCAAATATACACCTTAAGGATTACGTAGATGGCAGATACCTCATTTAAAAAATATAAAGAGGGTGTGCATACGAAATTTACATTCAAGCTGAGTTCTTCTTTGAGGCGGAAACCATTTAATGGTCTGTAAAAACATTATGTTTTGTTGTATAAAGTAAAGAATTAAGGGTATTAGGTATCTGTATAGCATATTTTATGGAAATGGAATTCGCGTTGAGCAATATTAGTGTCAACTAAAAATCGCGGGTTAATCACGTTTATAAATTGAGAAAAGCTCTACTAGTTTCGAACCAACGTACTGTAGTAACCCGCGATTTTTAGTTAATTTAGTATGTCTCACGATAGTTATTATAAAAAATATTAGTGTCATGGTAAAAACGATTTTTTTATATCAAACTTTTATTAGGAAAATTTTGTTAAAAAATATTCGTCTTTCAGTTTACATTGGATTGCATAAAATAACCAGAGCTTCATTCATTGAGTTAACGATGTAAATATTATTCTTTGTTTTATCCGGTATTCTTTTCAGAAATATATATTATTACTAATATTGTATAATACGAGGAAATTGTCGAAGAGCTATGTTTCGGCACGAAAACCGCGGCCACGGCAAGGTTTCCGGTTGCCAAATCTTCAATCAACGCACTTGCAATTTCTCTGGTGTTGTGAGTGTTTTAATGGGCGGCGCCAATTGTTTACCACCAGGTAATACTCGTTTGATATCCTACTATGTAAAAAAACGTAATTGAATAAACGTTTGAAATATATAAGGTTTTGGTGTGTGACTATAAATTCGCTCCCTATTACATAGTTAGTCAAATAATGAAAACTCTTTGTTAAATTACACTTAAACTTTTACTTTTAAAATCTATATGACAATATAAAAATTCAAATACGTATAGTAGCCCGAGAGTTTTATACTCAGTAAGAGGCTGGCACTCCCTTTCACTCCTATCAGATGGGAGAAGTTTCTCGAAGTTAATTGATAATTATCCACTATGAAAAAAAGTTAGGACGCACCGTTCAATCACCTAGAACGTTACAAGGCAAATTATTCAGATTGCATGAAACAGACTTGTTTCTCCTCTACTATATGCCATTAGAATACAAATTACAAATAATTACAACCTAATGGAAATTTAATTACATAAGGCTGTCTGTTGCACTTTGAATTTATGCTGCGAATTTCTGATTTTCAGCTAAATGAACGTTGTAAACTTGCGGAAAATAAACTTTCGGAAGAAATAAAAAATAATAATTCATATGGTTGGATTTTTTAAACCAAGAAGAATTTGTTTCCCAGTAAAGACAATAAACTTAATAAATTTTAAATTAATTATTATAATGCAAATGTTATTCATAGAATTTGCTATAAATGTGGACAGAATGTGACGAAAAAGAAACTGCCATATTTTTTTTATATACAAATGGCATTCTCCTATTATTCTTTTTTGACATTATAGCAGGCCAGTATCAATGAGATAAGATTATTTTTTTCAAATAAATAGGTACTGTTTTTGAGAAATTCGCTTTCAATTTCCCACGCAAGCAGTAAATGGAAAACTCAAGATCGTATCTTATGTCTTTGATAAGGAAAATGTCAGATTCCAGATAATAATTATAGAAAGTGTGATTAGAATTCGGCTCTTTGATTTTCTTGTTTATTTACCTTGAATTCAAAGAAGGAAATGTAGTCTGACGTTAATAGGATCCTGAGGCTTTTTGGTACAAGAGACAAGCCAAATGAAATTAAGGATATTGATACGAGACATCACATTTTACAAGAAATTTTCATTATCGTATGTAGCATCTTGTATTTACAATGTAATTAAGATTTTATTAAAATGTGTGTGAGAGTTTAATATAGATAATTAAATTAGCATTTTCGTAATTTGTTAACATTTCAATCGTTGTATTTTTTATGAGAGGATTTCTTTGTAGGCCTGTTTCACCCTTTTTTTGTGAGGGGAAAATCATCAAATGGCTTCTCCCGCCCGGGGCCGGGCGGGAGGGAGTGTGAGTGAATGACTCTTGTTGCCTAAAAACCTATGTTTATATTTTATTAAAAATTCAGGTTTTGTTTTTAATATTACTTTTTTTTCTTTGAAATTAAAAAACTGAAACTTTTTTTGAAATTTTGTCAAATGCAATTCTTTATTTGAATAAAATTAAACATGAAAGACGAGTCACTAAAATTTTCAACTAAAAATTAGTTCGTAAATTAGTGTAGTATTATTATTCGTAACAGTTTCACAAACAATAATTTACAACTGAAGAACACTTCGACAAATTTCAAAAATATTATTAACAAAAGTAGGAAAATACAATTAATAACACTGTCCCAAAATGTATCATGTAAAATTGAAACTAAACGCTTCGCGTCGCGTACGTTGCACGGTAAAGTTTAGTGTTCACACGAGCCGCCGCCAATACAATATTGATGTAGCCGGCTTCATACTTCATTAATTTATAAACTATTTATACTGTCGCAGTAGGGATATACTGCCGTATTTATGAGGGGAAATATTCGCAAAGTTTCCCGATACATTTTAACCAATATTGTAGGTATATTGGACAAAATATATACAACAAAGTTTTTGTTTTCGACGTGAAAGAAAGGATATGGAAGGTCCAATCCTACTTCCAATCCCGAAAACCTTAATCTCTTCTATATAATTGCTTTTGTAGGGTGGGGTCGATTATTTAAGATTCTATCAAATGATCTGTCTTCTTGCTTGCCATCAGTCAAAAATATTGTCATCAGTCCACTGTTGAACAATGAACTAGGGCCAGCAAAATAGGAGTTTGCTACAATCTACACTCGACAGGCAAGCAAGCGATCGCTGATAAAAAGGGTCAGGATTATCAGTCTTTGTCAGTGTAAGTGTGGGAGAGCCATGCTTTGGCACGAATGGGTCGGCTCGACCGGAGTGATACCACGCCCTCACAGAAAACCGGCGTGAAACAATCACAGCGTTGTGTTTGAGAGAGAGAGAGAGGAATGATGACTCACTTTTCTTTGTTTAAAATAATTGTTGCCTCACACTAGGATTTTCTCCTATGACGTCGGTGCGATTTCAAACATACACCTCACTTTGTGGATCACACAAAGAGTTGTTCTGTGCGGGTTGATCGAACCCGCGACACATTGCGCGGCAGCCAGTTACCCAGCCACCGCGCCAACCGTGCAGTCAAACTTATTCCGCTGTCACCACATGCTACACAATCATGATTTACTGCATTTGCAAATTAAAGGCTTTGGCCTCGTTTACGCACACGCGCGGCTGTTGGATCGTTTGTCGTACATTGCAGCAGCAGACCACGATATCGTAAGCGCAAACACAAACATATGAACATTATGAGCAATGTACAACGTACCGACGCGCCAGGCAACGTGCCGCGTATGCGTAATAGGGAAGGGACTGTTTCGCTTAACGTAGTATGTACTAACTTTTAACACCCGAGACTTAGGCACAACAGGTACTGACAATATAGCACTCACTTTTACTTGCTAGTGTTTTATTATTTTAGGTATGTTTTAAATGCTAAGGTTGCAGGGTTAAGCGAACTAAAGTACCGCAGCCTGGCTTGGAGCAAGAGAAAGAACGGGGTAGTTATTTGTAAATAAGAGTCTAACGCTCTTTCTCACCCCAGCAGATATTGGATAATTTATTGAAAATCATCATCTCATCATCTTCCTGCCCTTGTCCCGTTTTATTTGGGGTCGGCGCAATATGTTTTTTTCTTCCATTCTGTCCTGTCACTCGTCACGCTATCGCTAACTCCTCTCTCTTCCATATCACTTCTCACACAATCCATCCATATTTTCTTTGGTCTCCCCCTGCCTCTCCATCCATCCACATTTATACTCATGACTTTTTTTGTAACATGCTTTTCATCCCTCCTTTTCACATGGCCATACCAAGACAAACGGTTCCCTTTCAACTTTTCAGTCACTGGCGCCACTTTCAAACTTCCTCTAATATACTCATTTCTCACTTTATCCAATCTCGTCACACCACACATCCATCTCAGCATTCTCATCTCATCAATTTATTGAAAATAATGATATGATAATGATATGATATAAATAATAATGATAATTTATTGAAAATACTCGCGGGAATCAACTGATGTTAAACTATACTTATTTCAAGTCACAACGAGACTCTTATTCCTGAACAGCGTGTGCGAGCGACGCGGCGACGTGATGTCAGACTAAATTAACGTAACGTAACTATTAAGAGTTTTCTCAGTTGATTCGGATGAGAAAGTCGGTATTTTCAATACATTCTGTGCCTATGTATCACGATTTAGTTTCTTTTCAAAAATAGTTTAGATGGTGTTCCTTCTTAAAAAAGTTATAGTTATTAATTTTAAAATCTTTTCTTTCACATTATAACGGATCTACGTCAGTAAATATTATTCACTACAAACGTAAGCCTTTTTCTAATAGTGCAGTCTAACATAACTTTCATTTTTACCATTTTCGTGGGTAATATAATAAATCAAAACAGTATTACCCTCTTGAGTTTTCAACCAACAACGGGACCATTAAATCTTTGTAGTAAGTTTTCTAAGAACTTACGTGAATTTATTTTCTGTCACGAATTGTTAGCTCTGAAAAATTGTTGGCGGATTTATCAACACACCTTTTTATTTTTACTGTATAATATAATAATGTCAATGTTAAAGTAAGTAAGTAAATGTATTTTTGTGCATAAATACTGCTATTTGGAGCAGCCATTTGTAATAAGTCTTTCATAGCGTCTTAAAATTTACGAATTGTAAAGAACTTCTAACAGTCATTTATGTATGAATTATGTTTTAGTGCAATATTTTTTTACTTGGCTTTTCTGTCTTCCCCTTTTACAAACAATAAGTAGTT